ACACACTTTGAAATGAAATGAAAACACACTAGATCAGTTCAGTAAACATTGGTTATGTCTTTCGAGAAGTTTGTGCTTGACACTGCCATTCTCCAATGCTAAGTTGCATTCAGATAGTAGAGTAGCTGTTTCCTGTGTTGCTTCTTCTCTGGCAGCCAACACACCATATGAATTAGTTCAGGTGTTTTTAAAGTTCTGCGTCAGTGTTAACTGTAGGTGGGTTCTAGAGTCTGACACAGACTTTTCTTACCCTCAGGGAAGGAAAGGGAGAGAGAATTGGGTGCTGTAAGCAAAAGGTGACATCGATTCTGAGGTAGGCACTGTGGTGTTTGTTTTAGACCTTATTTAAAATCTTTCTTAAGTGATGCTGTTAGTGGTTTACATTTGGCTTGTTCCCAGTGCCAGAGTTTTTAACCACCATGAGAACAAGTTAGATTGTGATTCTCCTACTGTCAAGATTGTTCAAAGAAAACAGATGCATGGTGTAAGTTGGCATTCCAGGAGCTGGTTACTTCAGCTGTAGAGATTAATCTATGCCTGTGAATCACTGGGCAAGCAGATTTTGGACTTGTGGTCCAGAGCTCATCCACTGTGCCCTAAGTCCCTCTGCTAGGGCCTGAGCAACCTTTTTTTTTTTTTTAATTTTGCCATAGTATGAGGTCTTTAGCACATCTCACCTTTCTTATGGCCTGAGGAAAAAAGCTAGTCTATTAATGACCCTGCAAAACATCACGTATTTTGTATCAATCTAAAAGAGCCACTGCTGGAAGTCAGAAGTACGAAAGATTTTAAGTGAGAGGCTATGGCAGACACCAAACTCAAAAAACACCCAAACCACCCCTCCAATCGAAGGGTAACTACCATTTTTAAATGTTGAGTTTAAAACAGAGAGCCTCTTTCATGGTGAATTAACCGTCAGCAGATGCCTTTACTATTAACTGCAAAACCTCCTGCTTGAGCACCCTCTGCCTTACTGCAACCCAAACAGTATGCCACAGGGAGAAGACACTCGTAAGAAGCCGACCTCAAACCACAGCATGTTCAAGGTAGTACCTTGAACTGTGTGGGAGCCAGTATATCTGTTTCAGCATCAGCACTGAGCATTAGCATTTATACACCCTGGAAATGATAAACATTCTCAGTTTCGAGCTTGCCTTCAGCTACTATCCTACCTAGAGCATTCAGGAAGCGAAGGCATTAATCATGGCAACAAAATCTTTAAAGGCCGTCTCAGTCTAACCGGATGAAGAAAAATGGTCCTGCCTTTTAACCGAAGCCATTGATCTAACGCAAGTCAAGGTGTGAATTAACAGAAAACGACTTCCACAGAAAGAAGCACAGATGTAATCTTCACTGTGTCTCCCAGGTATCTTGTCCTCCAACAAATGAATTCTTATCTAGGTGGCTCTTCAGCCAAATAGGTTTAATTTACAGCCTTGCATTAAACACAAGAACACCAAAACACCTCTTCACGCTCTGGCTATGGAATTGTCCTGTGATCTTAAGCCCAATATGACCTTGTAGGAATTATGATAAAGTAAAAGAATTGTATGTGCATAGCACTCTTCAGTTATGCTACATTGGAGACAGTAATCCTAGATTAATCCCTGTTTTGGGGATAGAATTCAAAATAACAATGTCTTTTCATCTATTACCACAGGATCATTATCTACTGAGAGAAATAACTAGTGCCAGTCTGGTCAAAACCTGAGCCATCTCCTCTCTTTTTGATGCCAAAATGATACGTCTGTCATAAAAAGTCAACTGAAAGTCATCACTAGAAAATGGCTTTCCCTCAAGTCCATCCGAAGTCTATCTACATAAATGCAAAATGTCATACATGTGAAATCAAAGCCGTTACAAAGCAGAGCTGAAGAACTAGAGAGCCAGGAGATAAGTCTCCTTGAATTACTTTATCTTTTCAAGTTGCAGCTTTATCGGATTCTTTTAAGAAACAAAAGACTGCGTGACCACTGATCAAATAAACTAACCTCAGGCCACAGGCCAGTCGGTGCACAGTAGTCTGAGTCCTTGCCACATACAATGCTCAGTTTAATAGTCTGACTTTTATTTGCTGCCTGAAAACATGGGGGATTTTTGATGGCACCCTAAAATGGTGGTTTGCAATAGCATGGTAGCAAGAGCACGTGATACATGCCGGGGGGGATGGCACATCTGAAGATCTGAGCTTAGGAACAATTCATCCTCAGAACCGAATCCAATTTTCTCAACAGAACCTAGGAGAAATTAACATATGGATAAGTATGGATTATGGGGGCCAGGGAGCCAAGCCATGACACGCAGACACGCAGTAGAAAATCTGTGTGTCTATTCTGCTTAGAACGGATTCCTTTTCCACTCTAAAAACTAGGACACTACACTAAATTTGGTGTTTACTTCATCTTCTCCTTCATGGATGACCAGCTTAAGTCTTAAAAATTAGATCTTAAATCTTCTAAAAAGAAACAGCAGCTCACAGCTGATCAAGGCTCCAACAATGCCTTCCCTTGCAAAGCAAAGCAAACATTATTTTTTTTTGTGCCCAAAACATCAACCACACTGAAGCCCAGTTGCAACAAAAATTTATATTGTTTTTCTAATTGAGAGGGGGGAAAAAAACCCCACAAAAGCCCTAACCAAAAATACAGAACTGAACAAGGCAATTTGTCCATCAGTGCTAAGTTTACAGTTGTCTTCCACGGTGCAGAAAGCTGGCTTTATGCGCTGCAGCTGTCTCTTGCTGAGGGAGCTCAAACGCTCAACCTTGGCTCTCCACAAATGCTGACACTTGGCTCCAAACAGCACTGGGACGGAGCCCACTTCGTGCTCCCTCACCGTCAGGCTACAAGACGTAGGAAGCAAGAAAGGCCTGTAGCCTGCTGAAGGCAAATCCCTACTTGGGAAGTCCAAACTGCTGTTCTTTTCCTTGGTTCCACTTACCTAAACCCAGGAGCTGCAGCAGCTTCTTGTAGCTTACTTCTTGCAAGCTTACTTCCTTGCATGTTCTTCTTTAAAAGCTCTTATAAAAGCCACAGATACTTTCAAGGAAAATACAGTAGCAAGATAATTCCAGTAAAAAAGGGGACAGGTTTATATTTCATTAGAGAAAGTTATACTCCTCCTTAGATTGAGAAAGTTTTAATACTGGCTTTAGAATTTAATGTTCTTCCAATTTTCCAGAACAGATGCCAAAACTGTTACTACTTCTGTCATAAAGGGGCAGCTGGAACCACTCTGAACTGACAAAAAAGGGATTTCTTTGGTAGGCTTGGCAATTAGACATAAGGAGTTACAAATGTGATTTTTCTTTACATCGGTTGGGTTTTGAGTCCCATTTAAAGAAGCATACGTGCGGCTGAACCTTGCTGAATGAAAACTGGACAGATCTGTAAGTAATGGCGAACTGAGAGATTCATGGGAGCGGCTTCGGGGAGGGCCAGTTTGTTCCAACCAGTGTTTTCTGAGTTTGTAACCTCCCTGGGAGGGGCCCAATGCCAACACGAGAGGAACGCACCGCAGGGAGAGGCACGTGCGCTGCTGCACTGGTCCTCCCGGTCGTGCTGTGCAACGCACAGACCAGCCACAGCCGGTCTTGCAGACCACTGTGGATGAAGATGACTCTCAAGCCCACAACAACTACACGGTGCACAGGGCAAAACATTCATGTGACTTGTCTTTCATCAACAACAATAATGTTAAAACTCTCTAAAGGCTAAAAATTTCTAAAGACCACAGTTGTTTTAAGCAACGTATTTTAACCTTTTTTCCGATTCTCACCTTTAAACCTAGAAGTGTTTGTACAGTATAAATTTTGTACATTTACTTTAAATTTAGGTTTACTTCTTAATTAGAAGCAGAAAGGAAGCATAATCTGAGATCTTAGCAGTACCTGACACTTCAGGCAAAAAAGCATATATTCTCTACGTGACAGGAAATTGGTTAAACACATTGAAAATACGGTGCAATTAAAAAAATCTGATTGTACCTTCAGGGCAAAACAAAACAATGTAGGAGGTACAACCCTACCAACTATTTTCCCTCCATATAATCAAATTTTTACACTTTTAAAAAGAACATGGGAGACTTCTAAGGCTTAAGTGTAACCTGCACAAAAATGTAAAGCCTAAAGGATTTTCCTAACATTTCCCCCTCTGCTCTCTCCAAGGATTTGCTGTGAGTCTTCAAGTGATTCTGTCACATCCAAAAGCTGTATTCAAGCGTCGTGGCTCTCAACCAGGAATGCAAGAATCTGATTTCCTGAAACAGATAACGACTGTGGAGGAACTGGAGCCAAAAGCAAACAACTGCACAAAGGTACCGATTTCTACACTCACTAAAAAGCCTTTGTATCATTTCTGTAGATGACTGTACTAATACAAACGTTATTTTATAGGTTCTTGTATGGCACACACGAACAGAAAAAGTAAATCTAGCTAATGAGCCAAAATACCATCTGGACACAGTCAATATCGAGGTATGATGTGGAGACAGAGTTACAGAGGAAGGACAGTACAATGGATGTGTCAGAAGGTGTTCGAACTCAGCCAGCTAAAATAGCCTACTTCTGTGTGAGACCACCTTTTAATAGTCATCTGATGGACTTCTGTGGAAACAAAAGGAAGTTGTCAGATACTCTAATACGCAAATCAAGTGGGTGTGCTTTGTTCTAACTTGTTTGCATGCATTTCTGACCTCTCGTCTTAATAGACTGATACTTACCTTTGTTTTAAGGCTGTTTCCACCTAGTCAAAAAAAAAAACCAACAAACAAACATGGCTGCAATGGAGTGTTTTCAAAATCATCATTTATGTATATACTTTTTGTATTTATCCAGCTTAATGGTATAATTATAAACTGATTTTAAATCATGAACTGTTGATCTAAATATTTGCATAAATGGAACCTCCACATCGAACATGTTTTCTTTCATTAAAAATAGACTTCTTGAAGAAATAGTGGTCAAATAGGTCACAGAATAATGAAATAAAAACCCGCAATCGTTTATGGATTTATCCTTTTAATATAGGGAAATAACATTTTATCATTACGAGGCACCATAAAATGTAAACACAATCACTGTCATAAACCTGGATATCTCTGCAAGGAAAAATATATCTGTTCACACCGAGTCACCTTGTATGCATATTGTGCCACCAGTTCTCAGCACTAATACTGTGTATGTGCCTCGTGAGCCAGATTGGATACTTCATCACAGGAAACTCAAATGGATCAAACACTCATTTTTAAAAGAATAAACTATCGATTTGCAGAAGTACAGCAACATCCAGGTTTATCTTTCTTTCAATAACCATATTCCCTGTTATGCACACCATAATAACATCACAGTGAAATGTATGATGAAACAAAATTTGTCTGATACACTAGAAAACATTGCTCAGTGATACATTTACATTCTATTTATATATGATTAAACATTTGTTCATACAGTACCTTCTACAGGATTACTGGGTAATTTTGGGGGGTCAGGGTTCATATTTTTGGATATTACTAACATGATAGCTACATCCCTTATATGCAAACATTTGATCTAGAATTTCCAGGGGAAAAAAATCAGTATGTGGTTAAGCAGCTTCTTAAATATACGGTCTATGAAATCATGTGTTGTATGAAAACGCTGCCAATGATGTATAAATGGATTCTTGATCTGCTTTTCACTACATCAAGTTTAAATCAATATAGACCACAACACGGTCAGTCAGTTATATTCTTAATCTGAACAGCTGGGGAAAAAGAAAAAGAATATGTACATGGAAGGAACAGCAAAAGTAAATGCGTTTGAACAAGGAATGTCAGGTGGCTGTTCTGGGAGAGGCTGCTATTGCAACTTTCATTTCCACAGTTGTGTGCTGAGAGTCTGACCAGACGAGCTTCCAGTCCATCCTGCCGCTGTGCTGGGGGGCTGCCCAAAGCCCATCACGTTGCTGGAACTGCTGAGATTCATCCCAGCCATTTGCTGATTCATCTGTGAAGCACAGACAGGAGCCTGGTTAGCATTGGTGCTGAAACACAACACGCTCCTCGCCAAAAAGCAGTCACGCCGCCAAGCAGCAACCCAGTTGAAGTACGTTTCCCTAAAATTACTATTTCTTAGTAAATCAAAATATCAACTCAATGTAAGTTTCAAAGCATTTTTCAAGACAGCAGCTTTGCTGGAACCGGTTTCTTTTCAAGCCATCGCTGTTACGCATCAGCCGACTGGCTGCAGCACTGGGCGCCTGCGCCAAGTCTGTGCCAACGCTCCACGAGCGGATTTACAGAGCGTATGCGACAACAGAGCCTGATGTGCCTCCTGTGGCAAGAGCTTCCTTTCAAGTGTCAACGCTGACCAACACAATTGTGGCCACTGCGACAGAGAAACACCAAAGCAAGTAACTGAGCCTTGACTACGTTTGCAACTCCAGGTGTTTCAGCAATGTTTATTTGGAGACCTCAAAATCTCGAACACACAAGTTTTTATAGAAATTGTCTGTTTAGGTGGCAATCAACAAAGAACGAGGCAGATTTATAAACTGCAGCGTTAACCAAGTCTAACCGCTTTTGCTAAAGAATCTAATCAAGAGATTACGTCTTAAAAACCAAGTGAAATAATTCACATGAAATTAAAGACAACATCTAGTTAAAGGCGGGAAAGAGACCAAAATTCAGCACATTCACTTCAGGGATGGTGCAAAAATATTTCTACTCTCTACAAATATTATCTGGTCACTGTAATATTCAGGGCTCGATGTAAAAGTATCCTTCAGATTACTCTCCCTTGCCTTCCAAAAAATAAATACTTGTTGACAAGCCAAAAACCTAGCTGTACAGACAGAGTAAAGATGTCCCTTCTCGTAAGCTGGAGAGCAGAAGAGCATTTGGAGCAATTAATATTCACAGCTGATGAATAGGGATGTCAGATAAGCAACATTAGATCCAAGCTAGAGCCAGCATTAGTATCATGGTTTAGCCTGCCCAGCAACTAAATGCCACACAGAAACTAAACTCTGTCACAGTCGAAACCAGGACAATTAGGTAAAAATCGGTTCATGTAAACATGAGCAAACAGTACCAGGTTCCAAAATGAAACTGAAGCACTGATGGAAAAAAAAAATTGTTAAATAAATTGCAAACTAACATTTCAGGGTAGAATTCAGTACTGTGTGCTTTCACATGCTTATCCGCAAAAACAACCCATCACTGAATGTGAAAATTAAAAAAAAGCTGATGAAAACATGCTTTACCTAGTCGTTAATCCCTTCCAGAGTCAAACTCTTAAGTAGTAGACTACGTATATAAAGCGTACTACTCTGGTATGTAAAGCAAGCTCTCTCCCTTTCAGCTGGAGCCAGAGATTAGGTCACAGTTCCCCTACAAACCGTGGAACATCAGCACACTGACATCATCTGATGTGCAAATAGTACAGAAACACATTAAGGGCCTGTTCTATAAGCCAACTTTTAATATATATTTGATAAGCAGCATGATTTTCATTTCAAAGCTGATATGGGTCTTTTTAGAGTTAAGACACCTAGAAAAAGACTGTTAACAATAAATCCACAGACTTTTTTGGTTTGACATGTGAAATTCTCACCTGTACTTTCAAATAGGGGCTGGTTTATCCACGTAAGAAATGCTGCACACCTTCGTAAACGTTCACACCACAGGACTCAGTAAAAACTAATACGATCCAGCCTAAATAAGTCACTGAGGTTCACTTGCTGTGGAATTATTAAATTGCTCTTATAATTTAAAGAACAATGTGGAAAAAAAACAGTTGCTATGATCCCTACTGAACTCCAAGAGAATCACATAGGTTTGTGTGTGTCCCCACAATAACGTCTAAAACACCTGATTTCAAGATGTTTCATTGGGAAATGTACAAATATAGCACTAAGTGCACACTAACACTTTTAAAGAACCTTTTAAACGTGTTTAAGAGATAAAAGGATCGCACGGATATACTACAGATAAATAATAGATTAGCCTAAGCAAACCATCTACAGAAGAATGTTGGAGTGCAAAGCGCTGCACATTCCACTGAAATTTATCCAGAAGTCTGTAAGTGAAAGTATCAATTGTTAATGGCTATCCTCAAGCAATCAAATTCTGCTATTAGTATTTTGTAACTACAGCTAAGCCAGCTTTTTACCTGGCTGGTTCAGGTGCCGGGACGAGAGCAGCGACAGAGGCAGAGAACTGAGTGTCATAGCAAAATTGCCAATAAATTGGCAAAATTTATTCTCTGCTTATATGTTATCTTTAATTATTCACAGATTTTTTTTTTTGCCACGTGCCTCTGAGCAGTTCATAGTCCAGTGGTCTGTAACTTGGCTACACTGCAACTTTCCTCCTACAGCCAAACGTTTTGTGTCTGCAAAGAAGCATCTTTTCTAAAGCAGCCTGGTCTGGGAAGAGCAAGTCTTTACCTGAGGGAGGTTCCATTGAGCTTGTTGGTTTTGTTGCAATCCATACTTATTTTGTGGCGTGACCATCTGTCCCACCATTCCTCCTTGAGGTCCAACGACATTTTGAGGAAGTCCCATCACACCAGTTTGTGCAGTACCAGTAAATCCATTGGGCATTCCCATTCCTACCATCACGCCTGTGCTCTGTCCCATGACCGGCACCGATTGTCCCATCATGTTCCCCATCATCCCAGTTGCTGCAGGCACAGGAACTCCCATGGCTGGAAAGCCTTGAAAATGAGTTGATGGTTGTGTGGTAAATGGCATTGAAGACGACCCCATGAACATACCTGTACCAGAGAAGGGAAGATTTCAGCAAAAGCGTTTTGTGATTTTCTCCCTCGTCCCCACAAGCCAGCAGTGCACCAGAATAATTTTAAATAACTTTCTCCAGTGGGACGTCAGTGCTGTTAATTTAGTTTCTGGTAAAAGTAAGAAATCGCTTAAAACCTCTCAGAGGAAAGGGACTCACCATCAGAGGTTAACTGCCAACAAGAGTTTGGCAAATCCCTGTGGTGAACCAGCATCTCTGAATCGCTGTGTTGGAGGTCTTTGTTTCCAGACAAACGCAGCTAAATTCAAGATACAACAGCCAGTACTGACGCTGGCAGCC